CGTGTTAAGACTGTAAATCCCCAGCAAAGTGTTTCCTGACCACTTCATCTTTGGTTCCTTTGATTTCCAGAACAAAGCCAATCTCCTACATTGTAAAGTGTTTCCCACAAAGGCCCGATTCTCGTCCACTTCAAGCTTCATGTAAAACAGCTGATTTGGTGTTTCCTTGATAACCCCGTTGGGCTTACACGCGTCGCCAAGCACTTTACAGAGTCTCAGTTGCTGCTATTTTGATTGTCAACCAGTCGACAGGCTTAACTCGCCGCCATTCGTAACGTACAAATCAACAGATTTGAAGTGTTCGCCCCAAGTGCGATTCTAACGATCGATTTCGGAGAAAGGCCTTCCTCTGTGCCATCTTGATCTTCCTTTATGTTTCCTTCTTCGCGGTTGACACAAGTTGCAGCCCAGTCCGACTTTGACCTCATCTCTGCTGTCCGCTATTTCCATAAGTTGTCAAATGTATCCAGGCTTCTATTTACCTTTAGGTCAAACTCACGCTGATTCTCAATCTGTTTGATTAAGGACAATTAAAGGAAAGGTAACTTACCGTTCGTTTAAAGCTGGTCTATCATTGATTGCCATTCAATTGCAAACCTCCTCATTTCAAGGAGTATTTTGGGGCAGTGATTATTACTTTTCGGAAATTACCTGCCAAGGCCAACATTTATTTCAAGGAGTATTCTGGGGCAGTGATTATTATTGTTCGGAAATCACATGCCAAGGCCAACGTTTGAAACTGAAGGATGAGGAGTATAATAGTTATATAAGCACATCAGTTGGTCTTGGATCCGGGCCACTCTCCACTTCTCGGTGCTCTCCAGTTTGGCTTCCGAATGCTAACACGACATAGTTACTTCCCATGTCAACTTCGTAATAAGCAATGTAGTTTGGGTCAAGATCGAGTCGGTAGACGGGACGAGTAGGACCAAGGTCATCAGAAATATTGACTCTGTTGAGGTTTGCGAGGTCTGGATCGGCATCAGTTAGCTCCATTACGGTGTCCAGGACCTCATATGGAAGTTGTAAGGCGTGCGGCCTAGACGCCAAAGTGATCACGATAACGAAAAAAAGAAAAGCCTGATGTTTCCTAGACATACCCATAGGTGGTCAGCACCTGAGCACGGTTCCAAACAATAGACCTTTAATGGATGAACGCATATATAAAAGGACGGAGTTCAAATGAATAAATAAAGAATGAATAGTTATTACAACTAAACACCAAATCACAAAGAAAAGAAGAAATTTAACAATGAATTACGGAGTAATTCAGCGACTGAGTGAGTGGGTAAATAATTGTATGGATAGAGAAGAAGAAAATACTTTCTTTAAAACGTGTAGGAAACAGAAAACCAAATCACTAGTATCTTCTCTGCAGGAAGTATATGTAACAGAAATAACATTTAACAGCTCCCTGTCGATCGATACACGTAGTTACTCCACCCAAGCTCGAAATGCCATCCCTAAAGATACTCGCAGTCGTGTGTTTTTTTTCATTTTGAAAAGTAATTTGCGAGAAAAAAAAATCCATGTTAAAGCTAATGTTTTCCATTTGATGACAAATTTTTAAATGAACTCCTATTTCTTTTCGATAAACGCTGCATCTCAGTATTACAGGCACAAAATGAAACCAAAGTGTCACACTTATATCAAAGAAACTTGTACCAAACTATTGCTCCAACTCACATAAATTTTTAACTGTGGAGATCTGCAGATTAAGACAACACAAACCTGCATTTAATCTGAAAGGGTGGACAAAAGTGGAAACAGAAACCCAATTGTAAAACGCTATTTTAGAAGCACAGCTTCAAAAAGACTTTTGATGGAAGCAATAGTTTGAATG